AGAGATTTTCTTTTCTTTTTCAATTATTAAAACAAAAAATCCAATTTTCACAATCCCTAATTCCTTGTAATTTCATAATTATAGATGTTTAGTTATCTCTAATTCCTTACTAGACTAAGCTACGTCACCTAACTGTGTATGTATTTCAAAAATTAAACTATCACAATGAATGAGTAATAATTTTCCAAATCCTTTTCTCAATCTTTTTTTTTCGTTTTAATTAAAATATGAGTGTGTAGTGGACCTACGGGACGTGCCTGCATTATAGTTTACTTAGTAGGGCCGGCATTAAAACTGTGACCGTTGGATATTATAATCTAACGGCTTTCGTTTTTGTATGTATAATGAGTATTACCACACAGGATCATTTTTTTGTTTCAATTGATGATGTGCATGAGCATCATCATCACTACATGCCTCCCATCACTTCTTGATAATATTTATATACTTTCTTACGTCAATGTCAAATGAGTTAAGCAAAACAAATCTATTATACTACGAAAAAAAGTCAAATAAAACTGATAACTCTAATTTCAATATGGTAATCTAATAGCTTAATTGGATTTAGATGTTCCATTGGTTTAAATTGGATCTAACCGAAAAATTTCTTGTATAGCTCAAACCAAATTATTGAGTCAAATTTTTGGAATCAGAATGGTTATGTTGAACATTGTTCCGGCCTAAACCGACTAAATCATAACCGGTTTCACAATCCATGTTTTTATCAAAACATCACATAAACATTATATTCTTCAATTACAAAACATGCGGTCGGAAACACAACTATAACAGTACACACACAAATAAATTCGTGTTGCCTACAAGAAAAATAAGAGGCAAAAATTTAAAACTATTTATTAATTTAATTTTACTGTTAAAAAAAAAGTAATTTGTTTAGGGTTTATGTATTGTGTTGGCGAGAGGGATGAACAATCAGCTCCTGCATATAATTTTCAAAAAGAGATATATATATAAATAAAATGTTCAAAAATAATATAAAAAATGTATTTTTGTAGAATCAGAGTATTTAATACCTGAGAATATCGAACATGATCGTTGTGAACATACGATGTTTTAACGATCGTTTCCCATTTTGTAGATTCAAGATTTTCTTGATTCAGTTTCTTGGAACCAACTTGACCTAAAACGACGCCGTACGGTCTCGGGCTAACCGGTGGGAGAAGTGTTCGTCGGAGCCAAGGCCGAGATGGAGTTTCCGGCAACGGCGGAGGAGAAATCGCCACCGTCGTCGTCATGTATTCCGGCGAAGGGTTCAGAAGATTCCCTGACCTATTCTTTCTTCTGTTTACTTCCTCCACAAGAAACCTCGAATCGTGAGTCGTCGTCCGTTGGATCCTCGAAGGAGTCGAGATCGAGTTTCTAAACATTCTGATTTCTCCGGAATTCGAATAATTCGGAAGAATCTCTCTTCTTGTTCTTGTTGGATACAGTTCTTGAGACTTGCTTATTCCTCTGTTTAGTCTTTTGAAGCTCTCTTGTTTCTCTGGAGTACCTACAAAACCGGTTTCCGAACAAGAATTTCGGTACGGTGAAATAAAACCGGAAAGACGCCTAGTAGACCAGTTTGGTAAACCGGTTTGATCACCCGAATGTTTCGAAACCCGGTTTACTCCTGAATCCAAACGAACCGGGTTTAGAATCTTGAATGAGCTTTTAGCACATAGCCTAGGCAAGAATCCACAAGCTTTCTTGGTTACATTTGGGTAGATTATTTG